TCCTAGACCCTACCTAGCTACCCTACCTATACCTATACCTAGTCACGTGCTACCCTACCTATACCTATACCCAGTCACGTGCTACCCTACCCAAACCGTTTGGGTAGGGTACCTCATGTACCCTACCTAGTTCCTACCCATAAATCACGTGACTATACCTATACCCTACCCTACCCTACCCATCCGCCAGCCTACGCTGAGCAACGTACGTGAGCTTGAAGCTTAATCAACGTTGATACGTGAGCGCGTGCAACAGCATAAGAGCTCATCACCAGCTTCAATTATTAAGGCGATTAGCCAGCTCAAGAAGGGCGCTGAGGTGATGATGCTCTTAGCTGAGCTGATGCGCGATTAGATTGCCAGCCTTAAGAAGGCTAATGAGGCAGTGTCAGCGCGCAAACAGCGTAAAAAAAAGCGTATACAGCAGTTTAGGGTCTTAACAAAGGGAGCTGGAGAGGCTCTACTTGCGCAACGTGAGGCTGACCAGCAGATTGAGCGTGAACAGTGTCAAGATAGAGAGCAATTAGGCCTTAGCCGCCAGGCTCTCGCGCGCTGCAAGAGGTGCAGAGAGACTGGGCATAACTCACGCACGTGTAAAAAAGATATTGCAGATACTGCTTAATCTACTGCATTAATATCTATATATCAGCTCATGATGTGGTTAAGTTGTACGCCTCTGGAGGTGCCAAAGTTGGTTGGGGCTGGCGACTCGCTTGTACTGGCGACTCGCTTGTAAACTACGTTACACAATTTACATTACACCGATACCCCTGTAATCCACTAGCACAGGTGTGGAAGGACCCCTGTCGTGTGGACCGTGCGGCGAGAACAACGCTGACGCGACAACCGGAAACCGACTGTGCTCGCCTCTGTAGGAGGTCGGGATGAAAGACGATGGGTACGGCATGCGTTTGGCCCCCACCGTGTGTGTGGTCAGCAAGCACGCTAGCCTACCGGTAGCTCGAGCAGGCGGGGTGAGCCGCTCTAAATGCGAACGTTCTGCCGTGTTGAGCGCTCCTTCCAATATGGGGTCTGAAAGCCACAGAAAACGTGACCGGTGTGTGCGGGCGGCTACTGTGAACACCTCCAGGTCTGATAAGACTTGACTGTGACTTGCCGGTCAACGCCATGACTATTCAATTTTGCTCAACGGCGCGTCTAGGAGAAGCCATGACTACAGATGCGATCAACAAGCAGACCAATTCTTTCGGTCACAAGGTCATTCACGCAGACATCAAGGTTACGGGGATTGATGATGCGTCCCAGTCTGGCGAGATAAGTCCGTCGCCGGACAAGCTTCTAGAACCAAGCACCTCGAGTCCTACAGATGATGCGGATAAGCAACGTGCTGATCACATGCGGATCTGGTGGGATGAGGCCATCGCAAAGAATATGTCGCTCCCAGAGGGCTATACCGATGTCTCGGTTCTCATCATCAAATGGGATGATGAGCTCGATGAGCTCAAGACATGGCCGGAGGTCAGTCAGGCATGCTCAACTTTTGAAGTGACATTGACATGGACGACAGGTAGAAGAGCTCGACGCTGTGTTCCGCGACCGCTTCCGCTACACGACCGAGATCGTCGAGCTGAACATGAAGGGAAAGCCCCAGCTACAACTGAAGAGCCGTATCGGCAAGTTCATCGAAGAACACGACGGACCGAACAATCTTCTCATCGTGTACTACACCGGACACGGCGTATATCAGGAGAACGAGAAATACCTGCAACTCGCCGCCTGCATCAACCCGAGGGAAGGCAAGGGATTCCACAAGGATGCACACGCAAACTGGGACAAGATCGAGAAGATTCTGAGATCCGACGACAACGACAGCGACGTCTTGACCATCCTGGATACCTGCTACTCCAGCAACATGACCAAATCGGCCAAGCAGGCGACAAGGAAATTCGAGCTACTCAGCGCATGCCCCATTGACCAAGTGACCGCGGCACCGGGCCCATGGTCTTTTACCCGCGCTCTGATCGACAATCTGAGGGACCTTGCAAAGACCTATGGCGACAAGCCATTCTCCACATTTCACCTGAACCAACGCATATGCATGGACCAGCGGCGTCTGTTGACGCCATCGCACCTCTGGCATCGGCTACCCAACGACCAGCACATTCTGCTCGCGCCGCTGAAACCGTACATGGGCCAGGCGCAGCGGATGCCCGAGCTAGCCAAGGCGCCGAGGGGGTACCTGACGCTGCAATTCGCGCTGCGGGACGACACGCTGAACCAGGTGCAGATTGAGTTCCTGACGACGAAGCTGGCCAAGGCATTTGAGAACAAGGCGCTGTTGGGCCTGAGCCGCGTCGACTGGCTCGGCATCAAACCCACCCGCATCGCGGCGCAGTTCAACCGCACCACCCTGGCCGTCTACGCCGTCACGCAGTGGAAGAAGTACCTGACCAGCAAGCGAGAAGCACGACAGTCGCAGCAGCGCCCGGCGGAGCTGGGTACAGCACCAATGGACGCGGATACAGCACCAATGGACGCGGATACAGCACCAATGGACGCGGATACAGCACCAATGGACGCGGATACAGCACCAATGGACGCGGATACGGACAACGACGCAGCGCGGTCTCGGCGCAAGCGCTCGCTGGAACTGCACGGCGATGTGACGGCCGCGAAGCGACGATGCACGGACAATTCGCAGCCGATGCTGTCGCCCGTGTCGGACACATGGCGCTCTTGAAGGCGTGCAAGGGACTTGTGGCAGAGTACCTGTGATTTTCCGTCTCGTTGCAGTTGAGCGTTGCCGTTGCTTGGCGTTCTGGGATACCCGTAGCTACGCGCTACTCGTGCGCTTTTGATACATGTATACACATCTATGTTTGTTCGTTCCATCTGTACTGTCGCCCACCTGCCTGAGTGGTGGGGAATTTGGAGACGTGCCTGAGCTGTCGGGGGTGTGTGGGAAGTGTTATGTCTGTGAGCAAGCGTACTGATGCTGATTCCACTTGAACTGGTCGCTATTGGCATACGTTCGTTACAGGGTGTTTAAGCTGCAACCCATCACTCCTGAGCCTCCTTCATCCTGACTTTGACGCCGTCGGCAGGACACCCAGTCAAACTGAGCTTAGTCCTGAAGTAGCCCTGCCCACCGTTGTCCACACTGTCCCAGCTGTTGTTGACACCAACAATGCTTTCGAATCGCTGCGCAAGCCTCACGAGCACATATCCAGCTTCGGTAAGGGCAAACTGTTGCGAGTCAGCGTGTGAGATGGCAGAATGTGTGAGAGGTCGCTTACCTGTTGACCGATGCAGATTCTGGGCCCACCGTTGAACGGCAGGTACTCGAATCCAGATTTCCTTGCATCCCAGCGCTCGGGACGGAACTCATTGGCGTCCTCACCCCAGAGGTCCTTGCGACGCTGGATCACGTACACGCTATAATCGACCTGAGTACCCTTCCGGATATAGACAGGCTTGTCGCCATTCATTCCACCGCCGGTGGGGAGGGTCGTGTCCTTGAGAGCTCTGCGGCCGTCGAGAGGCACGACCGGGTGAAGACGAAGGGTCTCGTTCAGCACCCATTGGAGGTAGGTGCAGGACTTGAGGGTCGAGAAAGTGATGTTGCGGGGGTTGCTGTAGGTACCAAATTCTTCCAGGATGATGCTGCGAAGCTTCTGGTAGACTTCAGGGTGCTTTATGAAGAGCGTATAGGTGAAGGAGAGCAGCGAGGCCGTTGTGTCGCGACCCGCGAGCAGAATCGAGATCATGTGTGCTCGAAGCTCAATGGGGTCCCTTGTCGATTCAGCAAGTGCGTCGAGTAGAACATACTTCTGTTTCCCGCTAGCGCTTCGCTTTCCAGATGCCTTCTCTAGGTTAAGCGCTTTCTGCACGTAGTGGTCGATGAATGTCCAGCAGACATCGCGATTGTGTCTGAACGTCTTGTCGAAAGCTAGCCACCCCAGTTCACCCATGCGAGTAGCCATGGCGACACTAGCTTGAGCTGCGTCAAAAGAAGTTGCAAAATCCTTCTCGCTCACTACCATGGACGGCCGGCTTGAGGCGTAGTCTGCCAGGGCTGTGAGTTGTGAATCTACACTCTCGCCGAAGAGGAACTCTGTAGCGGAGTCGATCGTCAACCTGAAGAACAGAGGCTGTATGTCTGTGACATCCGTCCAACCATCTTTGTTGACGGGGATAACGCGCATGAGATTCTTGATATGCTCCTCCTCAAGGTCGAGGTCGCTGACCTGCTCGCGCGCGAACTGAGGTCGAAGCATGTTTCGCGCATGTTGCCATTCGGCACCATCTGTGGAGAACTAGGAGCCTGGTCAGTGCTACTCGCAAGAGTCACATAACAATGGAACTTACAATGCCTTGTCCCAGCAAAGCAGAGAAATTGACATTTCTCTTCTCGCCCAATCCAAAGTCCTTGAACTGCGTAGCGAGAACAGCCTGTACATTCTTGGGGTCGACCGTGAACATGCTCCGGACACCCAAAGCCTTCTGGTCGAAAGTTGTGATGCTCCTGCCCTCGTCGGCGCATGCATTGTCAACACGTCCCTTGATGTACTCGGGGATGTGGAACCTCTTGTCAGCTGCGATCATTCTCGAAACGTTTCGGATGCCCTGAAAGTCAAGGAGCTTGAATTTGTACGCAGGCTCGCAGCCCAGCCTCTTGGCTTCATTGCGATAGTAGCGCTCTGTGAGAAGATGTGCAACGATCTTGTAGAGAATGAAAGATCCTCCTGCCCAGAGGGCGAGAAGTATGGTGTTGTGCATGACGTGTTAAATATGAGAGTCCACGCGGTCGTGTTCCTGCTCCGTGGGAAACAGCGCTCTTCAGCTTTTAAATTCTGAGCGGCCTGGAGTTAACATGGAACAAGCAGCTGTCAGTATCGAACTGAGACTGTCGCATTTGCCGAATTGGGCTCCTCTTTATGTTCACCACGGCATGCACATGTTCACGTCGCCGTTACCTAGTCGCACCGCTAGTGGCAGTCGGACCCCCTTTCTGCCGCTCCCAGTGGGTCGTCCGAACGCGCTTTCCAAGTCCCACGTTCGATACGTTACGCAAAGCATGTTCTACCTCCGCCCTGATTGGTTTCGTGACATAAGTAGCCCTTACCCGATTCTTCTCCACATGCGACGAGCCAGATTACTGATCGAAGCTCGACCGCTGAGCTTTCTGAGGTGAGGCGGACGCGGTTCAACTTCAGACCGGCCAACCAGTGCCAGCGGATCTCGCAATGCAAGTTCGTCCGACACCTTCGTCTTTGAGCGATCGAGAATCTGCCTGTGGCTGAGAAGACGGCTGTGAGATGCGAGATTGTCCGACTCGTGGCTAGCGGCGGTCGAAAGGAAACGACTTCGTCTCCAAGGCAGCACGCTGCCGCTCGGTCAAGGTCGTAGCGCCAAGGATGCCGCACAGCCATGAATGCTGACAGCGTGACCGAATGCGGGCGATGGGTTGGCAAATGGCGAGGTAGAACTACAAGATCGCAATGGCCTGGCTCACAGGAAGAGAGGTGATACGCGTTACACTGCATGGCGTGACGGTGCAAAGTTGAGGCTGATGGTAGGTTTATGCGCAGCTGCATGCAGGCCACGAGGCGCGTTGCGCGAGTGCCACGGACAGCAGTCACTATCACAAGGTAGTGGAAATACAACGATTCCTAAGCAGGTGGTCTGGCTGTGCAGGAATCTGATTACACAAATGTACAATTTTGTTGGTTCATTAGTCATGGTCCAAGCACCTAGAGCTCGTCCCTCTTCGTCATGCTTGCCTCCTGGGACTTCAGCCTGTAAACTCCGACCGAGTGCCTCTCGATCTCAGCCTCGAAGCGGCCGCCAGGGGCAAGGGTGCCAACTTTTTGCCCCCAGAGAGCAGGGTGCATGGCCTTGACACCATCAGCATAGGACATGGCGGAGGCGTTGAACCTGGTCGTGCTGTTGCTGCTGATCTGTACAGTAGTACCGTTCATGCCAGCTAGAATGGCGCCAGCCTCGGCCTCGGACATACGGTTCGCCCACAGGTCGTAGACGTCCCAAGTCTGGCTGAGCTGAGCCGGGGCGCGGTAGGCACCTGCGGTGCGCTCGTCAAAGAAGACCTCGTTGATGGTAGCGTTCATTGTGCGAGTCGTGTTGCCAGCGTTCAAAAGAGCAACGATACGATCACCGTTCGCCAGGCTGCGGGTCCAAAGCGAGATTTCGCCCTCGCCGGTCTCGTCCGCATCAACCAGGTAGCGCCAGACACGCTTGGCAGCACTGGCTGAAGTATCCTGATTGATAGCGATGATGGCGGGGTTGGAGTAGATGGCAAGATTGGCGGGAGACAGAGTGCCGACGTTTGTGCCGATGAGCATGGGCGAGCTGTTGATAGCCCACATGCTGAAGTGAACGACATACTCGGAATCGCTCTGGCCGCCGTTGCCAACCTCGAGCATATCCATGTCGTTGAAATAGCCAGACATGGTACGGGAGGTGATGGCAGGCATCTTGTTCAAGATATTCATAACGGAGCAGTGGAACCCTGGCCAAGCGCAGCCAATAGCTTCAGTGCAGGGGCAGCGATCATCCGGACGGTTGAAAGAGTCGTAAATGTCACCAGACATGCGTCCAGAGTTTGCGATCCTGTAGGCCCAGTCGAATGGGTCGTCATTTCCCCAGTTACACATGGCGTAGATGATGTCGCGGCCGGTTGCGTTGAGAGCCTCAGACATGACACTGTAGCGATCGAAAGACAACTTGGGAGTTCCAGACTGGCCCTGGTTGAAGCAGTTGTCGTACTTCAGGTAGTCGACGCCCCAAGAAGCCCAGAGGTCGGCATCCTTCTGCTCGTACCCTAGCGAACCTGGGTATCGACCGCAAGTCAAGACACCGGCAGAAGAGTACATGCCAAACTTGAGGCCCAGTTTGTGAATTTGGTCGGCAACTTCCTTCATACCGCTCGGGAATTTGTAGCTGTCTTCAACAAGGTAGCCGCTCTCGTTTCCTGGAACGCGTATTAGTCTTTGAGAGAGTTGGTAGTTGACTGATGAACTTACTGCCAACCGACCAGCAATCGTCGAGAATGATGTAATTGTATCCAAGGTCGCGGAGACCGAACGCAACCATATCTTGCGCGGTGGTGAGCAGTAGACTCTCATTGACATCGCACTGGAACGCGTTCCAGTTGTCCCATCCCATCTGGGGGACAAGGTTGAGCCCGTTGTAGGAAGAAGCTCCAGGGATGATCACAGCCGGTTCTGCACCACTAGCTTGTCTCTTCTCGAACATCTGCGACTGAGGAGATGCAGTCGCCTGCCCAAAAAGCAGGGCTGCTGCGGTTGCCCACTTGAAGTTCACCATCTCGATTGCAGCGTGAATAGTGGATCGAAAGGCTGGAAGCTCGAGGTGTTTGCTGATCACTTCGCAGCGCAAGTCGCTTCTCTTATACAATAACCCTGAGATGTTTTCCGGCGCCGATGTCTCCATCGAGCCTTACCCATTGTGTGTGAACACGTACTGCGCTACCGTCGTCCATGTCCGCTGACCGCCGCATCGTTCGACGGGCATCTTTCGCTGCCAGAAGCAGAAAATCGTCCGCAACATCGTCATCGTCTTCAAAGGCCCGAGAAACTTTTCATCGACTTGCGGGGATACGTGCGGGGACAGAGCCGAAGCTGCAGCAGACCGATGTGATTGGTCGTCTTTCCCCGGAAGCGGCTGCGGTGTGAACGTCCCCCACACCATGTTCGTTTGTTGAGCAACCCACGCTCCCACGCTGAGTCTGCAGGATGGAGATGTGCTGAAGAGCCTCATCTTCTAGAATCGAAAAGGCTCTGGCAGAGGAAGCTAGACCGCATCTGCACCAAAACCCGCTCCTTCCAACAGCCTCAACACATTGCCAACGTTGCTTGGCCAACGTTGCTTGGCATTCGTTGCTTGGCCTTAACCTCGAGTCTCGAGATGCATGCACGACGATTTGCGGTACTTTCTACGCTACTCAAGTGACGTGCTGCCCCAATCATCACTAAACCACCACTAAACCACCACTAAAGTTCAACAGGACGCCAAGATTTCGCGAGCAGAGCACGAAGCGGCTCCTCGCGGACTAGACATGCTGTCCACAGTGAGATTGCTAAACATTTTGTAGTTACGAGAATCAAGTGCCCATGAACGCCTTTCGAGTTGTATGCTTTGACGACCCTCAAGCTCGAGTACCTAGATGTAACTATGCACCGACAGCGCAATATCCGTCTCTGAGTTCTACATGACCTTTCACACCGAGCAACCCGCACTATTCCCCACCCGCATCTCGGGACGCTACCTCTCCACTACTTCGTATCACCGCCGCCACTTTCCCGCCTTCTCTCCGACGACCCGACACGGGCCAGCACCTTTCGCCCACTGCGCGCGGCCGCCATCTCCCACTAACCGACACGGCGCAGGACGGTCACTTAACGGCCAGGAGTCGGCCCTGCATCACCTCGCACTCGGACGGCTGTCTAACCCCACAGAGCCTTGTAGCCGCCGCCCTACTGCACCCCACACTCACGCTAGACCCCGGTACTCTCAGGCCAGGCAAGCGAGACCGAGTGCGATGCGGAAACAATTGCCCAACCTCGTTGACAGACGGCATAGAGGGCCGCCGGACTGTCATGCTGCCGCACTTTGCTTCCGATCCGACTTTTTCGATTTCCACGACCTGCAGAAAGTTGGAAAACGGGCCAAGTTACTGTATACTTTGAACCGTGTATTCTCCTTCTTTCACACACACACGAGAGATTCAAGCATAGAATTCCGTCATCCAAAACTCTCTCACATGCAAAGCAGCCGAGTTTCGAGTTGGGCTTTAGACGCTGCAGAACCCGGTCCGCACGAGCCCATCGAATGCAGCACGAAGCTGGTAAGCATGCTGCTCGTGGGCCGACTCACAGGCGCAGAAGATACACCTGCCAGGCGAGGATGCATGCCACCGTCGTGTCGCGTTACCTGGAGTGTGCGAGTCGCAGTGCGAATGGACGTGCGCTGGACCCGCGTCCGAGGCCGTGGTGGTGGGAGCGGTAGTGTCAGTGCCAGTGTCACGAAGCGAGTACATCAAAGTGAAGTGCAGTGAAGTGAAGTGCAGTGAAGTGAAGTGCAGTGAAGTGCATAAACAGCGAGTTCCGCGCTATGCTATATACGCAACGACCATCTAGCCATCTCCGCCATAGTCCCCGTCGACTCGGTATGCGCGGCGACGCATCAGCACCGCAGCGCCTCAGCCAGTGCTCAGCTGCCGCACGCCGCGCTGCAACAGGGCGTTCCGGAGCCCGAGGGCGACAGCCCTGCGCGTGCGCGCCGTCTGCCGCAGCTCCTCGATGCTGTCGTCGACCATATCGCTCAGGCGCGCCAGCTCGGCGCCCGCGGCCTTGTCCTGCGTGTCGTACGACAAGCCGTAGCCCTTGCTGGGCGTCGAGTCGGCGACCTCGGGTGTCAGCGCGCGCATGTTGAGGGCCGTGATGCTCATCTTGCCGCGCGTGGGCGGCGTGGCGAACGGCGTCTCCGCGATGCTCCTTCTGAGCTCTGTGCCGCGGCGGCGGGGCGTCGTGGCTCCAGCGCCGTTGGCGTGCGTCAAGGGCGAGGACGAGGATTGGGGCCGGCTCTGATCTTGGAGACCGTGTTTGCGCATCTGGCTCTCGAGCAGGGCAATGTCGTTGTTTCGGCGCTCGGCGAGGGACGTCATCTTGATGATTGTCTTCTTGACCGCGTCCATGCTAGGGACTGCTGTTGTGTTGCCTGCGCTGGCGGCGTGGGATGCGAGGCGCGAGCGCAGCAGGATGGCGGCTTCTTCGGCTTGGGAGAGGAGCATGAGAAGCTTTGCGTAGTCGGTGCGCAGCGCTTTTTGCGTATCGGCGAGCTCCTTTGGCAGGGCGGCGTTGCGGCTGGATTCGACCCTGTCGGGATCCCTACGGTTGATGATTTGGCGCCGGATGTCGTTGATGCGGGTCATGAGCTTGGCTTTCTCGAGGATGAGGCGACGGAGCTGGACGAGCTTGTCGTGGACATGTTGGATGCGACCTTCATCCAGTTCCTTGGACAGATTGTCTTCGAGATCCTCGAGGTCCTTGATCTCGCTGAGTGCGAACTGCTCGTACCAGGCGCCGTCTTTGCCATCAGCTTCGACATCCTGAAGCGTCGGTCGGTCGACGCTATGGCCAGGCTGAGGCTGCTTGTGGTACGTTGTGAAAGACTTGATGGATCGTGCGTTCCACCCAAGAGCATCGACCATGCCGTTGATGTCTTTGTAAATCGCCTCGATCTGAGCAGCATGGCCCGTCTTCTCCGAGGTACCCGTGTACTTTTGGTGTGCGACAAAGTCATCAAGCGTCCGGCTAGGCTCGATCTCTTGCGCCAGCTGTGCCCGAATACGTTCATCTTCTTGGTCCTCAAGGTCGGACACTCGTGGTGTTGGCGGCTTCGACTGTTGGAACGATGCGCTCAGCGAGCTTCCCGGGGCAGAGGGCTCCCTACGCGTCGTCGGTCGATGACTGGACTGTGACGAAGGTCGAACAGGACTTGGTGACCGGAGGTTTGCTTGTGCTCGTGGATGCTGGAAGCTCGGTGTCGCAGACGCACCAACTTGAGCGGACTTGGCCTGTTGGACTGTCGGGAACAACGGCGCAGTCTTTGGCATTTGACCAAAGAGTGGCTGCGAGCTTGTCGGCTTAGGGGCAGATTTACCGCCAAAGAGAGGTTGCGAGGCCCCGGGCTTTGCACCAAACAGAGAAGGTTGTGTGCTCTCTGATTTGGCAGGCGCAGGTGTAGGAGGAAAGAGCGGCTTGGGTTCGCTCTCCGGCCGGTCGATCTTGTGATTGCCAAGTGTCGTCGGCAAGGGCCTGTCTTCCTCCTCCTCCTCCTCCTCCTCCTCATCGGAGTATTCCTCCTCCTCTTCCGATCCCTCCTCTCCCTCCTCTCCCTCCTCGCCCTCTTCATCGCCCTCTTCATCGCCCTCTTCGCCCTCCTCGGAAGCAGAAAAGTCCTCGTCCTCATCTTCGTCCAAAGGCCCGGGTTCCGGCGAAGAGCTAGGAGCCTCGACCTTCACGCCAGGACTGCCAGCGAGCGGCTCGTCCGTAGACCCCGACGCCCTGTTCGGCAGGAAGTCTGGCGGGAGGGGATCATCTGCGGGCTGCGACTTTGGCTTTGATGAGACAAAGTCAGGCGGAAGTGGTGCATCGTCGGTAGGCTCGGTCTTGTTTGCAGCCTTTGTAAAGTCCGGCGGTAGTGGTGCGTCCTCTTGGGGCTCCTGCTTCGTCGGCGGTGGCACTTGCGGTGTCGTACCGGGGAAGTACGATGTCTTCTTTGGCGGTGACACTGGCGTTGTTGATCCATTGTCTCCCGGGGTCTTGGGAGGCTGCAAACCGGACCTGGGGACCATTGAGGCGAAGTCGCTTCCGAAGAAACCGCCACCAGGAGCTGCGGGCTTGGCCGGATCGTCCGTGGCGGTTCCATCGCTCTTGAAGGTGGTTCCGAGGTTGAAGCCCCCTGCAAGACCGTTGAGACCTGAAGGTGGCTGGGGCGTAGGTGTCGACTCGTCACGCTTGCGTTGCTGCGTGTCGGCGCTGCTGTCTGCCGAGGCGAAGGAGGAATTAGTAGCCAACGAGGAATTAGTAGCAAACGAGAAGTTTGTAGTCTTCTGGCCAAAAACGGAGCCTGACTGCTGCGCTGGGTTTCCAAACGATGGCAGTGTTGAACCATTGTTCGAGCCGACTGTGACTGTAGACCCAAAGCTGGGCTCTTCTTTCAGGTTTGGAGCAGCATCCGATGCACCGCCAAATGCGGACTTTTGCTCGCCGAGGCCTGCGAAGCCAGACTGGCTTGCGCCTGTGCCTCCAAAGGGGCTCGGCTTTTGCTGTCCAAGGCCTGCAAAGCCAGACTGGCTT